GGGTCTGAGGCAGGCAAAGCAAGTCAAGGGGCCAGGGGGCTGCAGCCCCCAATAGTTTTTTGGTATTATCTTTGTTCAGTTCATGTGTGGGCAGTCATACTGGTGAGACTTTATGGACGTAGCTTCTGATATTAAGAAGAAACACAAAACTCCCTGACCCTCTGGTTCTTACAATCCGTCTGCCTCTTCTTTGGCTACGTTCCCTGAGTCTTAGGTGTGGGAGTCTTTTGAAGACATATCTGGGACTGTGCTCCACGCCTATGTGTTTTGATTGGTTGTGGTTTTCTGTAGTGTTTTCCATCTGTCGCCAAGAGAAGTTTCCTTGATGAGGGGTGAAGACTACACTCATTGGTGGATCTAAAGACAAATGTTTTTATTTTAGACTGTTGCTAGGGATTATGCTGACTTAGTGAATTAGCGGTCATAGATTCTCCTCTAATGACCATGACTTCAGTAGCACTGAGTAGTTAACTAGGTTAGTAGTTAGCTACTGAGAGAGTCTTAAGTCCAGCTAGAGAGCTGTTGGTTACAACCATCAAGGTTTGTGCGCCATTACTGCACCTGGAGTGTTACCCTGACTTGCGGGTTATTGATGTGGTTCATAGGCATTATAGTTGGTTGCCTCCTTCCTTTGGAAGTTTCCATGGCACCTTCTGAATACTAGAAGTGTTGGATTGGATTACCCACATGCTGTACTCTTGTGTAGCCTGCCCCAACATTTCTAGCTCAGTGCATTGTTTTCAATGTGTACCTTGAGAGAATTCTTTATTTTTTAACTTTTATTTATTCTTTGTGGATTTAACATCATGCATCTCAACCCCATTAACTTCTATGTCTATTTGTATCCCTCCTCTGCCTTTGTAATGCTCTTCCTCCCCGCAAAAATAAAATAAATAAGAGAAGAGAAAAATAAGAGAAAAAAAGAGAGAAAAAAGAGAAAGATCTCATTGTGGAAGCTGTAGTGCGACACCGTAAGTCACACAGTCTATTCTTTGGTCTATATATCTTTACTTGCAAGTGTTGATTGCAAAGAGTCATTGGTCTGGTTTGAGGTCTCTGTTTTCTGCTATGCTATCAATACTGAGCCCTCACTGGGATTCCTCTTGAATATCCTGTTGTTGTCCTGTGTTGTGGAGGTCCTGCAGCTTTGGATCTGCAGGGCCAGCCCACTCATGTGCTCCAGCAGATCATAGATGGAGTGACTATTGGGTTGGGCCCACCCACCCCTAGCCCTGGTTCTTGACCTGAATGGTTGCAGGGTGGGTCAATCCATCAGTTCTCCCCCATCCTCACCACTAGGGTGAGCTCTCCAGCATTGTCCAGGCTAGCTCACCCTATGCAGCAAGGAGCGAGGGTTGGGGCTGGTTCTACTTCCATCCCTTCTGGGTTGGCTCATCTGCACCTTCACCACCAGGACCAGCTGTACTGTGCTGTCCAGGCAAGGTGCAGGGGCCGCTCTCCTGAGTGCTGCAGTTGGTGAGGGGCGGGGCCAGCTCTTCCCCTCTCGTGACCAGAAATAATTATTTCTTACATGAGAACGTTTCCTAAACAATATCGTCATATTTAACAAAGTAGTTCATTTTAATTGTGGTTTTTCTGACTCAGAAGTACTTTAGCTTTGTAGTTAGGGTGTCTGAAATAGGACCTGGTGCAGGGTTGGGTTGTTGTGCCTCCTCAGTCCATTTTAGTCTCCTCCTTGGCAATGTTTTCTTGGGAGGATTAACTCTGCTATTATCGAGAACGTCTCCCCTTTTCATTTCTCAGTCCCTTTGCTTCAGACACCATCTGGCTTGTTCCTTTGTCCCTTGAATTTCCTGTAGTCCGACATGACTACAACGATCCTAACTGTCCTTCTGATTTTGCATCATTGGCAGGAATACATCATAGATGGTCATGTGAGGACCACTTTGCATCCTATGAATGCTCATTCGCTCTGGCTGCCGTATCATTATTGTTATGATTAATTACTGAGTACAGATGGTGACAGTTTGATATCATCTCTATGTCCAGTAGTAAGCTGGATAGTATAGCCTGTGGCTACAGGACATAGTCAATTTGTAATACCCATTGCCTTGGACCCTGGAAAGATGGTATCAAACTAGACACACGGACCACTGTAATGTCCAGAGGATAATGTTTCAATGAAATGCTGAGATGAACCTTTTCGTTTGTCTCAAAGTTCTGTCTTTAAAACAAGCAGTGTTTTGTGTTAAAAGGGGTCCACTTAATTATGTTGATGGCTATTTCACTTTAAGTTGGCATGCATTTCTTCTTCGTACATTTTCTGTCCAGTATGCCAAAACGAAACAATGAAAATAAAAGTAGAATTTTATCTTTGGCTCATGCTTATCTTTGACTAACTCTTTGAGGGCAGCTGGTGTGGCTCGTCCAAGCTCTGGGCAGGGTTGTCCACTGTAGGAATCAGTTCAGGCCACTGTTGCGTCAGACATGCCCACCGAGCGCTTGAAGATGGTCTCTGCTGTGGGCAGCAATGGGGATTCAGACAGACCTGAGGATTATAGTATCTGGTGGTATCCAGGAGAATGGGAAACAGTGTGATGATCTACTCAAGTAACTTAGAAACAGCCCCATGAAGAAACCCTGTATCGTGGTTTAAATATGAAATGGCTCCCTAGCTCATGTGTTTGAACACATGGTTCCCAGGTAATGTGGGCCTTGAGGTGTGGTTTAGTTGGAAGAAAGGAATCTCTAAGGGTGGGGCTTGAGGTTTCATATCTAGTCCTACTTCCTGGTCTCTCTACTTTCTGATCATGGAGGTAATGCGGCCAACTGCTTCAGGTCCTGCTTTCACGTCTTCTCTGCCGTGATAGACTTCAACTGAATGCAAACAATCTTTTCATTCATAAAGTGATTGTTGTCAAATATACCATCATAGCCATCAAAGAGGTAACTAATACAGGTTATAGCCAGTCTGACTTACAGATAAAATTACTCTTTAGCTTTTAAGTCACCCTTTGGGGGTCACAAAGGATTAGGCACGGATCTTTCTGCTTCACCCCAACAGCCCAGATGCTCTTGCTGCAAGGTGCTATGTAAGGGAGTGTCTGCCTATCTTTCTAGCACTATGCTCCGAATAAGGACCCCCAAGAGAGTCTTGGTTTCTCACAGGGGTGTCTGTCATGTGGCTGTTCTGACAGGGAAAGTTCTACACCAACCTGTTTTACAGAGAACAGAAGCTTACTGTCCTTAGTCCCCAGGTCCCAAGGGATAATGGCATCCCTGCTCATCTGGACAGGGGCAATGACCTTTTAAATATTCTAAAGATTTACTTCCATTATTTTATTTAAGTATATATGGGCATGTGTGTGTGTGTGTGTGAGAGTGTGTGCATGAATGTATGATACGAGTGTGCAGGGCAGAAAAGGACATCAGATCCTCTGGAGCTGTAGCCACAGGTAGATGGGAGCCACCTGGTATGAGCACTGAGCACTCAACTGGTCTTTGGGCAGAATAGTAACTATTACTCCTGAGCCATCATCTCTCCAGCCCCCATTTTAGACATTTCTAAACACCAATTGGAAAGTGTATGTGTGCGTGTGTGTGCATGAACCTGCACCTGTTTGTGATCTCTAGGGAAGAACGATTGGGCTCTAACTTGTTTGGACTGGTCTAACAAAAATCAGTGCGCTATGGAGGTGACTCAGCAGTTAAATCACTTACTCTACAGGTAAGGGACTGGATTTCGATTCCTAGAACACAGGTAGATGTCAGGTGGGTGTGGCAGCTTGCCTGTAACTCCAGCCTTAGAAAACAGATAGGGGCCATCCCTGGACCAGGTTGGTAGTAGACTATTAATATCAGTGAACTTTGGGTTTGAATGAGAGGCCCTTTCTCAGTGAATAATGCAGATGATGATCAAAATATTCTAAAATTAAAAACCTTAAATATGCATTTAACAATTTGTTTAATGCTCTTTTTACTAATTTTGAGTTCATATTTTCTTTTGTTCTTCTGTAGCTCCCCCCGCTACAAAAAATGTGGCATGCTTCTTTTTAAAGGTGTATTGCTAGCTTGTTTAGTAGAGAATCTTTTGATAATTGCTAGGTAATCCCTTGGAAGCTAGGCCAGGAAGTCTGAAGAATTCTCAAGCGTTAATGATCTCTCAAGCATGAAGGCATTGAGATGGTTTCCTCCAGCCCCTGCCTGAGATCATTCTTACCCTTCATTCTTACAGTGCAATTCACAAAATGTGTATGCTAACATTTGATGGAGAATTTGTTTGCACAGTGTGTAAGGAACTTTTATAGCACAACAAAACAAATGTTCTAATTAAAAACAGCAATAGCAGCAGCAGCAGCAGCAACAACAACAATAAACAACGCCACAAGTCATATGGTTGGCCACCCATATCTGCAGGAGGATGGAAGCACTACCCAAGACATCTATCTACTTGGTGTAGCTGAACCACAATTATAGCACAGACTAAAGTGGCCCCCAACCTGCAGAGGATTTTTGGCAAGGCCCATGGCTTACTCAGCATCCCTGAGGATCTCAGAGATCCCTTTTTAACATTGTCCAATATGAGCCAGCCCCTATCAAACCACCCATCATGAAGCCTCTGTCCAGAGAGAGGTATTGCTGTCTCCACAGCCTCATCCTGAAAGGGGACCCCTTTCACCCCTCAAGGATGTCAGACAGTCCATCAAACAGGCCCTGGCAAAGGTTATTGATTTTGTTTGGGGGCAACAGCATAGGACAGTAAAACTGAATCATGAAACTACCTATGCACGTGAACAGGGACTTGCTAGGAGAGAGTGGAACTGAAAACAGCTCCTTTTACTGGACTCCACGGGCTGTTGTCTAAGACACACCTGCAAGTTAGCACAGTCACGCCAACAGGTAACTGGTATGGAACACCACACAACTCCCAATGCCCTCCCACCCGGAAAAGAAATTGCTCCAAATGGCACAAGATTAAAATTTCATACAGATTTTATTTTGTCTCCATGAAGTGAGCATGTGAAGGGTGTGGGGGAAAGACTAGACAGATACCTATTTGAAATACGAGAGTGATTGTAGGTACTTCCCAGTTAGGTTCTTTCATTTTGGTTGCTGTAAATTTGTTCTCCATTACCAGATCCTGTTGATCTTGTCATGTATGACTTTTCTAAAAGGCTGTAACTTTGCAAAGAAAAGAATCTATTTGTGTTACCCTTGTCGCACCTAGCACAGAGCTGGGTTCCAGTCACCTGTCCTGCCAGAACCATACTACTGTGATTTGGATCACCCCCAAGGACATGTGTTAAAGACTTAGTCCTCTGCACTGTGGAGATTCTGGGACATGAGGCCCTCTGGGAAGAAGTTAAGTCATTGGGGTGTGCCTTTGGAAGGAATATTAGCACCCCAGATTCTCCCTCTCTGTTTGCTTTCTTGGTAGCTACCATTAAGTGGACAGCTACCCTCTACTGGGCATGTCTGTCATGATTTGCCTCCCCAAGGTCCAGAGGCAGTGGGGTCCAGGGATAAGGGACTAAAACCATTCTGAAACCATGAATTCACAGCAACTTCCTCCTTTCACATTGGTTATCTCAGGTGATATTTCACACAGACAGAAAGCCAATAGTACAACTGATTGACTAGTCCATTAAGGGAGACACCATCTGTTCTCCTTTAACCATGTGTGTGCTGGAGAATTGTGAGCTCCGTCAGAGAGACATGCACAAGACAGTAGGGCACAGGAGTAGGCAGGTGTTGCGAATGTCAGCAGTATTCCAGAGTTTTTCTCCAGTCTTGTGCATCATGGCAACAACCAACAGGAGCTTTAGATACAAGAGAGTCACTTTTCAGTGTGGACTGGTGCTAGCTGCGGGGCCTAGCTCTGTGAGGGTCATGCATGTTCCCGGAAACAAAGTGTGCACAGCATTGGGAAACTGAGTCAGTGCTTCTGGCCTGGGAGCACTGCAGCTTTGGTGGTAAAAGGCTCTAACGGACACCCAGCACAACGAAGACATCTATCTAGGCTCTTAAGGTTGTAATATGGTTTGCCTTTCCCTTCTTGTAGTAGTTTAGGAGACGGGGTGCTTGGCCTTTTCTTGTGGTAAGTAGTTTAGAACAAACGCATCATCTAAAAGACTCAGAAGGCAAAAGGAAAATAAAGATTAAGACTTTCTTGTGTTCCCAAGCAGTGGCTGTAGAAATAGCCCCACAGTTCCAAACACACAGACGATTATAAACACCCAGAGGAAGATCCTGTCCACCACCATGGCCGTGTATTTCCAGTCATCTTCTACCTGAAATGTGATAAAAAAAGATCAAGACTAACTTTGAAAACCAGGACCATAGGAAAACATGCTTTGTCTTATGAATAGTGTTTTCCCCCCACAAAGCAACTTTCTCTGATACTTTCAAAATCAATTATTGGTGTTATGTTTGCTTGCCCGTGTCTCTTCTGTGGTGTTCATTGTCTGAGGAGGGTAGATATACATCATGGATGGCCATGGATGGTGCTGAAGAACTTTATGACCCCTTTCCTGTGACAAGAGTCTTTTCCTGGTTCTAGGGACAGTTCCCAAATTTTCTGCTTGAGAATCCAACTCTTGTCACTTGTGCATAAGGGGAGCCTGGCTCTTTGGGGACCTGAGTCTGAAGCAGTGAGAGAATAGGCTGGAGGATGTGGGCTATGACTGAGAAACCCTTACCCAGAAGTAAGTATCAAACTGATGCTAACAGAGAGAGCTTCTGCATACCTGAACTCTTCCTAACCTTCTGCTATGGCCTCTGTGGGTTGTGTATTAGGGGACCTGCATGGCACGGTAGGTCAGCAGTAACTGTATCTCCTACATAGAAGATGATGCCAGCCCGGAGGGGAGCTCATCGGCCATTCCTGTCTTGTGACACGTGTTAGGACAGGTGTTCTCAGTTTCTCCCGGTGCATCAACAGGCCGTATTGGGATCCTGATATTCCTTCACTAGGAGTTAAAGATGCAGGAAGCTGTAGTTATGAAACAACTTTGGACACCTGGCAAGAGCTTCTGGAAGCCTCAGCTAGTCAAGGGGTGGCATGGGGAGCTGGCATGGTATCTTTGAGTCCTTGCTTTGGGGGAGGGGGAGGGGGAGCAAGTTACTGACATGAGAGTGTGGGAGATAGCATGCTGAGCACATCTCCAAGATGCCTTTGATTCCGGTCTCTGTCCGCCTCTAGTGGAGGAAGTGAAACCCGATCTGCTGAGTGCCAAGGAGCTGTGTCCTTCACCACTGCGATTTCAGGCAGCACCTCAGTCAGTTCGCCTTTCCCTGGGCAGTCTCCCTCCCCACCCTCTCTTTACTACTGTTTGCTGTGTTGGGGCTTGTTCCATGAATCAACCTGTCTTGCATATGTAGCATAGCTGCATTTGACTGTAAGTAAATGCAGATTGGAGATGTGTTGTAGGGCTACATATCATCTCACTGTAGCTATGTAAACTCTAATCCAGGTTCCCCAGTGCTGCACAATAACAGAGCTGGTCTTAGATGATTCTGTCTGACTGTATCACAAATGTAACTCCCACCGATGCTCTGACTAGTCTGTAAAGTGCCTATAGGTTTGCTGGGGGCACAGTGGGCGGGAGGAAAGGGGTATATGCTCACCTCCTTTGTTTCATTGTGGCTCCTCATGTTTTCTGCTATGAACTGAACACTGTCGATCACATCTTCCACGTCTGGTGAGTGCTCTGAACTCTCTGTCTCCCATGGTGCAGGCTGCTGACTTAACCGTCCCCTGCCAGGAGCCATCTCTCTTGGCTTTTGACAGTGGCAGCCTTCCTTCAGAAGTTTGGGTTCTCTTCGTTGAGCAAACTTGACCTTGGTAGATCTCTTAGGAAGGTTTTTGGGGTCTTTAACATCACCCACCTTCTTTGTCTTGTCCAGAGGTCTCTTCATCATCAGAATTGAGGGGAAAACCTGAAGGAAAATGGTCTTCACCCACTTGGGCATGGTATGCGTTGCTGGGGTGCGGTAGTGTATGTTCAACACAAACACAGTCACCACAATGGACAAGGTGACAAAGATCATAGTGAACAGTAGATACTCACCAACAAGTGGGATCACAAGAGATGTGGATGGGATAGTCTCGGTAATCACCAACAAAAAGACAGTCAGAGAAAGCAGAACAGAGATGCAAAGAGTCACTTTTTCGCCACACTCCGAAGGGAGGTAAAAGACCAACACGGTGAGAAAGGAGAGGAAGAGACAGGGGATGATGAGGTTAATGGTGTAAAACATGGGCAGTCTCCTGATGTAGAAAGAGTAGGTTATGTCTGTGTAAATCTCTTCGCAACAGTTGTACTTGATATCATGCTTGTAGCCAGAGGCATCGACAATTTCCCATTGGCTGTTTTCCCAAAAATCTTTCATGTCCACTTTAGAGCCGATGATCAGGAGGTCAATCTCAGCCTTGTCATAAGTCCAGGAACCAAATTTCAGGGAACAGTTTTGATGATCAAAAGGGAAGAAGGTGATGTCCATGGGACAAGAACTCTTGAAGATGGCTGGTGGGGTCCAGGTTATCATGCCGTCGTACTTCACAAGAGCTTTGGTCTTGCCTTCAACTTGGAAGTCACCGACCGCACTGCAAGGAAAGCCACACACTTTTAACAACACAGTCCCTTTTCTGTGGGTCAGCTGGGTCAAAGATTTTGGCAATCGACTGTGAATCTGTCTAGACACACATACTTGTTATAGAGAACAATGTCTGGCTTCCAGATCTTGTCTGCTGGAACACGAAGTGTCTCGATGCCATCATATTCCCTTGGATCCCAACGTAATTTGTAGTCCTTCCAGATCTAAAAGAAAGGAAATAAAGAGCCATTTCTGGTTATGGTGGTGGTGGTGTTCTTGCTTTGTGTTAACTGTTGTTAAATTTGCTTTTTAACAATGTGATCCATGTACATTGGGGGTTCTGATTACTGTTACCCTTTGCCCTCTCTGAACCTCAGTCCCAAACCCTTTTACTCCCTGCAAGCCATGTAAGTTCAATAATTTTCTTGATTAAAAAGTAAGATATTTTGACGATTACATTGATTCCTATTAAAAACAGAGGATTATAACGATGGGCACTGGGAGCTAAATAGCTGAGCTGATTTTGGCATACACATAACAAGATTAAAACTTCATATTGTGTTTCATGGATTACTTCAGTTCAAACTGGGGTAGCAACTTGTTCCTAATGATGTAAACACAATTTGCACGCATGAGGATTAGTCCATTGTACTGTGTACACTATTTAGACTTTAAAGAGCAAAGACGCTTCTATAACTTATAAAAGTCAGCTACTGATTATATAATATGCTTTCCAGACCTCAACCATTGACCTCCTAGAGCTATCAAAGAGGAAAGTAAACATCCGACTTGGGACTCCAGTAATTGATAAGAAGATATCTGAGAGCAGAAAGTAGAAAGGGCAGAGGGCTCTATGTCAAAGACATTAGGCTCTACCCACGTGCTGTCTGCATTAAGCCAGTTGCAAACAGAGCATATACAATGTCTATCATAGGCTGTGGAGGGAAAGAGGTAATGTGGGTGGGTTTGTCATTGAGCGGACACACGTGGGCCTGGTTCAAAGGGAGAGATAGACGAGAGACACATACGTGACGCAGCCACAGATTGGTTTCCATGATCTGGTTGACTTCATCCTGGGAGGGAGAAATAATTTTTTCAGCCTTCCATGTACTTTCTAATACAAGTCTTTTTTAAAATTGATTTTTATCGAGCTCTACATTTTTTGCTGCTCCTTGCCTTTCTCCTATCCCCTGATCCCTCCCCCCAAGGTCCCCATGATCTCAATTTACTGAGGAGATCTTGTCTTTTTCTACTTCCCATGTAGATTAGATCTATGTAAGTCTGTCTTAGTGTCCTCATTGTTGTCTAAGTTCTCTGGGAACAAGTCTTAAAGCAAGAATTATGGCTAAACATGTAGTGATGGGGCAACAGGCTGTTCTACTATACAAAAAGAAATTCATTTTATTTAATCTGTTTATATGCCACATATGAATTATATTAGTAGCCACATGCCAATGTCAAAATCCACCTACTCAGGACACCGGCTGCCATCCTTCCTCCCTAAGACAGTTGTCTTGAGAGAGAGTCCATCATCAGGGTGTGAGGTGAAGCTGAGCAGAGGGGCAGTCCTTCCAGACTGCAGGGGACACCCAGTTTAGCTCTCTACTCCCCGCAGCCCAGTCCACATGCATCTTGCCCAGTGCAAAATCAAGAAGGGGTCAGAACAGGTATGAGATAAATGGTTTTTAATGGATCAAGTGGGTCTAGCCAGGTAAGAAGAAACCTCTGGCATGTGAAACATGAACCAATATTTACCAGAATATGCATATGTCCAATCAAGAGTTAAAGGACCAGGCTGGCTCAACAACGTCCCCTGGGTAAACCTGGTGGTGTCTGCCAAAATGTTGTAGTTAGGTCTTTCCCTAAGTCTACCTAGGGTAGGAGGACCACTTCCCTATCCTTGGGCTGGAAGATGACAGGCTTCCTCTATGTGTATGGCAGTCTCAGGACCATCTCTGATGCTCTCTCTCTGGTGACATTCCAGGGTTCCCTTAATTTCCTAGTCTATCTACTAATACAACTGGGGCTGAAGTCCAGGCCTGGAGATAAGACCCCTTCTGTACTTTGAGAAACAGACTCTTCTACCTCCTGTCCATGGGACAAGAGAAAGAAGATTATTTAGAACAAGGGGGAAAAAAAGGAAAACAAAAGAGCCTACTTCCAGTTGCCCTTTAAATAATCCCAAAGGAACTTACAGAAGGCCACAGAGTATGGCACATAATTCACTTCGAGCCTCCATTCCACTAGACTTTATGTCTGTATTTTATAATCTGACTCTGAAAGAACTTCTAATCATGCAAAGCCTGACGCAGGGCCTGGAGCGACCCTTTACACGTCCTCCGACATTCACTTTTAAGTCGTGCTACGCGACAGAGCTCCGCGCCCATCAGGTGCACAAAGCACACGCGCATTGGGAATGTAGTCCTCCGGCAATATATCTGGAGTCCGAGGCACTCACCACATTGGCCAGCTGTGTGATGGCCAACTCAAAATGCACTGTGACAGGCTCAGAGACGTTTTCCACCGGCCGGATGAATCGGTTGTAGCGAGCGAACAGTGTGTGGAAGAGCTTCTCTTCAGACACACAGCCTGTGCAGCCTGCGTGGTACACGGAGGAAAGCATCAGAGAAGCGCTGGGGTAGGGGCTGAGCAAGCTCCTCCCTGGCCGAGGCTACTGCCTCAGCCAGAGCCTCAGCACAGCACCAGCTAGGCCCACACCTACCTGGTTGCACTAGGGCCACTCAACCCCATCCCCTTTTAACCGTGCTTACTTTGTTTCAACTTTGAGATAAAACGACTACATAGGCTTCTCAGAACTAGTACAGTGCCCACAAAGTGATCCCGAGACGACTGCCCGTGGAAGTCAAGGGCACCATAAATGTCGTGGACTAGAAAGCCATGAGGAGGGAATTTTTTGTGTCACTAAACACAACTCACAGCATGACCTCTGAACCAGAAGCTTTGTGGGAATTGTGGAGGTCTCTAGGTTTACACCTGGCAAGGCTGGCACCCTCACCAGACAAACATAGTATCGAATCATTGCCTAAAACCTCCAAAGCCATGACCTTTAAAAAATATACATTGGAATCATTTATTTTTAGATTTGTGCAAATGCAGAGTTTTTAAAGTAAATTTACTTAAAGTCCCTTAAAAGCAATTGCAAATTGATTTTCAGTACCCTTTTTAGCCATTAAAGTCTGGCCAGTAGGGCCACCTGTGTCTCTAACTCTTTAAGAATGCAGTAAAATAATTCCTCACCCCCAGTTAGCACACCTCACTTCCCCAACACCCCAGTGAAACACACCCCCATAGTTAGTTTTGTACAGTTCATATTTGACTACAGAAATACGCCATGGACTTCCCCAAAAGATTCGTATTCTGAGCAGATGGAAAGAACCAGAGACTGCTGTGCTTCTCCCTGAAGCCACTTCAGGGGTCCATTTGGAAGGACGGCCCCAGGAGAGAAGACCTCTGCCTGCCAGCTGTCATTCTCCTTAGTGTAATTAAAAACAATGGAAACATTTTTTCAGGAGCCAGCGAGAAACCTTCCTGGCTCCTATTGCCATGTCCCTCCATCAGCCCCCCACCCCGAAACCCAGTAGCACAGAGGGGATGTGATCTCTTCCGCCAGCGGCCATGTCAACTCTTAAGATCCCAGATGAGGCCAGTTACTGACAATGGGAGGGTTCACAAGCTGCGTGACATGTGCCAGCTAACAAATCGCTCTTTGAAAAATGTATTACATATAGTCACAAGAAAATAAGTGGAGAATATTGATAGCATGAACGGCTATGGAAACAGATGACTCTGTGTGCTCACTGGGAAGACATACTTTAGTTAGAAATATGAAATACGATTTACAGCATATTGCAATGTTTTCCCCATACTGCTCCCCAAATCTCATCTGTTAGGTGAAACCTAACTAATAAAAGTCCCCTAGTCATTTGGATCTAGGCAAGCTGAGAAAGGAGAGTGAATGCACGGAGCTAAAATCATTCTAGGATGTAAGCAGAAGTAACTTACCTTTCAAGGAAGCCAGGAATCCACATAGGCTCAGACACAAACCCAAGAGAAGGAACCCCTGGTGCCGGCCCGTCAGCATGATAACAGCACCTGAATTCTGATTTCTACCCAGAGGGTGGTGAAAGACAGCTGTGGGAGTCAGACCATTAAAGCCGCAGAAGCTCGAGGCAACCCACACGGATCTTCTGCGAAATGAAAACACGGAACATCACACAGCTGCTCCCAGCATCGTGGGACTGAGCAGAAGCGAAGGGCAAGAGAAGCCAAGACTGCAGCTTCAGAAGGGCTGTCACATTTCCTGTCACCCTAGATCTCTGTGCAAGAGAGGCGAAGAAAGGCAGGACTTGACACGATGCAGATAGGTCCCTTGGAGACCTGCCACCGCACCTATTATTCTTTAGGGTTCTCCACCTTCCTAAAATGTGGGCATATATCATATATCTGATATGCGACCACTGTGTAAAGGTCATCTGACTCAAGGGATCACGACCTGTAGGTTGAGAACAGCTGCTTTTGGGGTCTAAGCACATATTTACTTGACTCCCACTACAGAACACACACACACACACACACACACACACACACACACACACACACACCCAGCACCAAAGCGTTCACTCAGTTTGCTGTTTAATTGAGGCTTGCTGGAGAGGAATCTGCCTAAAATAACCCCAATTCCTGTCTTCCCTGGGACAGTTTAGAGGGCTTTCATTTTCCAATGCCAGCTCTCCAAGTGCCTTGCTCTTTGGAGTGCTGTGACCCCAGATCAGGAGAGAGATTTAACCGCAAATAACGAGGGGAACGGCTATCCACCAGATACTTTCCTGTTTAGTCCCCTGGGGAGGGGCCGGTATTGATTAGATTTCTGCTCTTTCCCCCTTCTCTTTTTAGCTGGGGTACTGGTCGGGTTCTGATTAGCTGACCATTTGGCTTAGATCTCAGCATTGCTTAAAGAGGAACTAGATGGTAAAATGTTAGCTCTCAAGGAGTTCCCAGTCAGAGTTCAGGGCTCCACCCTGAAAGCAGCACAGTCTGCACATGGACAGGGTCCTCTAAGTTCTCTTAGCCCCCCAGCTCCAATCGGCAGAGGGAGAACTCACAGGCGGGGGCCTCACCCTCGGTTCTTGGTTCTTACACGTCCTCTCAAATCCTCTCCTTAGTACCTGGGCTTTGTCTTTTCCTCAAGTACCACGGAGTTTTCAGAGAGCCCGAGGAGACACAAAGTGAGTCAGGATGACACTCGGCTGTGACGGGTCAAGGGGGCTGTGTCTGAAAGTGCACATTGTAGCTGCTGTATGCTTGTATTTTCTACTGGACACACATCAGAGTCTGAAGAGGACAGGGCTTTCACATCTGGCTTCTGAGCCTCTGGGAGGCTCACAGCTGGCCTGCCTAGGGCTGTAGCAGAGAAGGGGCCTTAGGGAGGCACAGCTGGTCGTGCCTGCTGTCTTCAGTGGGCAAGCTAAATCTGTGTGACAGATGCAAAGAGGCTAGATGGGACCCTTTGCTGGGTGTTTCTTTTTGTAGTGCTAGGGGTCAAGTCGATGAGAACTCTGGGAAATCTGCCTGCTTCTGAGGAACTCTCTGGAAACCTCAGGCTCTGTGTGCCCTTAGTTGATGCTAATAGCCTTGATTGTGGAGGTCACATGACTGAACACTGAGCTGTGTGTGTACCCCAGCTTTGCTGCTGTGCGAGACTCTGAGGGAGGCAGACTAATGGTAATGATGCCTCAGGAGAAGATGCATTTGAGATCTTGTCTGGTGACAGTTGCTTTTCAGTGATTTTCCCTTGTCCTCTGGGGAGAGTTCCTCAATTCTATCTCCTCCTAGACCTCCAAGGAAAAAAAAAACCTCCTTTTTTCTGACAACTAACTATAGAATGAGCTATTCCTGAGAAAAGAGGGGAAAAGACTTGAATACCTTCCAATTAGTACCTTCGCTCCTTAAGCCCCAGAGCTCAGAATATCCACTAGACTGTGCAGCAGAAAAGCAGCCCGATAAGGGTTTGTGTGTTGGCCTCTGAGAAGCTTCCCTGGGATGCGCTCTGCACAGCCTTGCTGCTGTAGCCTCAGGCAAGACTACAACTGTTGGTAACAGCCGCCATCTTATAGCCCCACCCTCATCTTTATCGGCATCATCAACAACATCTTAATTCTTTAGCATCACCCTTATCTTAATATCCTTACTAACCTCTCAATTCATTCATAGCATCACCCTTATCTTAATCAGTATCACCGGTAACACTTAGAAAAACAAAGGAATTGAGTTCAACGAAAGGATCTTGGTTAATTGTGTCTGCTGCTCTTCCAGAGAATTCAACACAAGTTCAGCAGGTAGTTCCCACTCCAAGGATCTGATTCCCTATTCTGGCCTTAGTGGTTATCTGTCCATACATGACACACACACACACACACACACACACACACACACACACACACACCCCATGAGGAGAGAGAGGACTAATAAAATAATTCTTAAAGGAATTGCACATTTCCCCTGCTGTTGCTGGATATTACTTCATATTTATATTCTAGGAATCAGCCCTTGTTCAATCATGTTGTTGACACAGTAGGAGAGCGGTGGAGCTCTGGGTGGGAAAGGCTGACTAACAATGAAACAGCGAGGCTTCCCTTCCCTTCTTTACCTCTTTCCCCCTTTACCTTCCTTGTTCTTTCTTTTAAAAGTTATTCTACAAATGTATTATATATATATATAATTATATATATATAATATATATATATATATATATGAGTGCTCTGCCTACATGTACATCTGTATACCAGAACAGGGTATTGGATCCCATCACAGATGGTTGTGAGCCACCATGTGTGTGATGGGAATTGAACGCAGGACTTTTGGAAGAGCAGCTAGAGCAGCTAGTGCTCTACCCACTGAACCATCTCTCCAGTCCCCCATACTTGTCCTCCATAACACTTTCAAAACACTGCATGGTTTACTGGCTTACTAAACGCTTTTCTTCATTCCAGCCACTTGTCCTTGGGTCATTGACATTTCAAGTGGGAGAAGGGAATGTGGTTTGTAGTTAGACCTCTTCTTCTTCACACAAAGGTGAAAAGAAGACAAGATCGGGTGCATAATTCCCCGGGAGTCACAGAACCATGAAATGCCAGGTCTGGGAGCAGCGTAGCCACAGCTGCTTTCAAACATGACTGTAGTCATTGTTCTCAGGCTCATTACGTCATTGCTATCAAAAACGAGGCATTCTGATGACCAAGGAAGTTGTTTAGTTGGTAGAGCACTTGCCCAGTGTGCATCAGGCCCTGAATACAATCTGCAGCCCTGTCTAAACTGGGTGTGGTAGAATTTACCTCTAATCCCAGAACTCTCCAGGTGGAAGCAGGAGTGTCAGAAGTTCAAGGTCATCTTTAGCTATACAATGAACTCCAGTTAAGCCTCAGATGAGTGTAAATGAAGCCCTGCCCCTCTAAATAAAAAGCGAATGAAATAAATGAATGAAACATTCTTTGCCAGCAATTATGATGCACACTTGCAACCTCAGGGCTCAGGAGGCTTGTGTGTGAAGCTAGCCAGGGCTACCGAGAGAGCCTGGAAAAAGGGCTGAGGATCTCAGCAGAGTTAAAATGTATGCTAATAAGTGGAAGATCCTGGCTTCCATCATCAGTGAGGTGCGAGAGTGAGACAGAGAGACAGAGAGCTATTGAGAGAATAAAATACATTCTTAGACCTAATATAGTAGAAAACTGGAAAGTAAGTGCGTCAGAGGGTAATTGTTTTGTGAGTTTCTAATCATAAAAATTAAGTTTAATTGGGAGATTATCCTGGGTTGAAAAGTAACATTTGTTAACATGAGGACATTTTTGTCATAAAAAGTGTTTTGGGAATTGTGCTGCTTCCAAAATGCACTGCATTGCTTCTCCCCCAAAATAAAGGAGATATTTTGGCATGGTTAGATAAATTAGGTGTGTGCTTTTCCCAAGTTTTTCCCTTTTCTTTTCTTAACAGATTCAAAGTACGCAAGTGAACACTTGGCGGACTGATGTCCAACTGTCAGTTCTCTTTAAACTCAAAATAAGAAAAAAAAACCCTGCTTATAAAACACTAGAGCCCAATGTGCATGTATTACTCATGATCTGCCACAGCATAACACTACCAATAATGTAAGGTCTCATGTGTTGTTTAAAATACCTACCCGTGTTAAACTTCAGGTGTTCGTGGTTTCTCAGTGGTAGTTCATCTCTACCACGTCCAGCATTTCTACCAGTGCAGGAAAAACAAGTATTGCTAATCTGGGTATTCAAAGATGTGTTAATTTGGAGGAATAGAAGAAACTTTACTTCTATTCTTTATTGCTAATCAAAGAAGGAGCTCAACTTGTCCCAATGAAGCCATCCTTTATCCACTAAAAGAGACAAAGGGAAGACCCCGTGGAACAGGAGTGGGATAGAGCATGGTAACTGCCTTAATGAGAAAGGTAAATGCTGATGCTAGGAAGTCCTAGTGCTGAGGAGTCACTTCTGTTCTGTTAATCTCCCAGCCATCGCTACTGTGAGACAAGACATCATTTTAGATACGAAGACAGTGACAACCCACGAGGTTAAATAACTTTCCTAAAACTCCCTCAGAGCTGGAAAGTGGCTGAGCTAGAATTCCAATCTGGATCCATCTGGATCTAAGCAAACACGTTCAAACTCCTGGAAAGGCTTTTAGAGCCATGAATACTTTATACATTGAAGGTGCTTAAAGTCCTTTCCGATCTAGGTCACGGTCAGCACCACTTTTACTTTCCTTCCCCTTGGGTCCTCCCTTGTGCACAGAGCTGGGATGTTAAGGCTGAAGAGAAAATGGAGCTGGATCCTAAATCCAATGCCAGGCAAGAAACCGCAGTCAGGTGTGTCTGGTCCCATACACGCAGACTCCTAACTCTGGGAGAAGAGAGGGTACAAGTCCAGCAGGACCTGTGGTTTTCTCCTTGCACTGCTGGGGATGGAAGTCTAGGGAGCATTCTCCTGCTGAGCTACACCTAGCTTTGGGCATGTTTGTTAGCTCTACCATGGGGTCCACTTAGCAACTACCAGTAAGGACATACTCTAGTGAAAATGATTGCCAAGGCAGG